CACATAAACATTTGGTGACTGTAGAACTGAAAGGCTTAGTGAAATATGTGCTGCAACAATATGTGTACTGAAATAGGTTGAAATGAGCAACAGCAACAGCTGAACCACTGAACCAAGAGAAAACCGGCATAGCCCGGCTGGATGGGGAAAACTCGGGAAAACTGAACAACTTTCTGGGAAAGATCCTTCCTCCAAGAACCATGAGCAAGGATACGCAGCATCGCTAAGATTGTCCACATGCTAGGTCATCTATGATGTGTGTTTTGAATATATATTCATGAGTCAGCATGAACAATCATGTGAAATCAACTGTGACACCACAGTAATGTGGGATCCATGATAGATGACTACCCTCAGTCAAATTAGTGTTCTTTTTCCCTGCTATTGTGAGGGTCTCTAGATGTCTCTAGATCGCCAGCTTGCGCCTCGCAGAATCTCTGCTGAGATCCGGCTGGATCGGATGGGATGTCAGAATGTCTGCCAGAGAAAATATCCGACAAAAGTGACAAAATGTCAGAGAACATGCCTATGTCAAAAAATATGTCAGGTAAACTGTGAGATAGACAGTCAGATAAAATGCCAACAGGTATTCCATAAATGATGTCAGACAAAATGCCTAGTAAATCCAGGTAAAATGATGTAAAATGTAAGAAATAGATAGAAATAGTAAGAATATATCGCAGATCAACTTGCAAAGACACGCCAAACACATGTTATAGACGGGATCACTCGAAGTAAACTAATTTTCTTCCTGTCCGCCACAGATCTTCTGTTGAATTTCCACTGACGTCCCGTCCCACAAAACGAATAATCATACCACGTAGGTGTACACACGAGAACAATCAAATTCGGGATGGCTTGGTATACAGTAGTTGTTTCTTCTTGTTTCTTATTGTTATCCCATGATCATCCATTATACAACTTGCACCTTCCCATCATTTTCCTCAACTTTCATCAGTTTTCACAGCGGATTTTTGGGGCTCCTGAGGGTGAGGCTTCCAGCTCCACCAAAAAGGCATCGTCAAAGCCCCAGCCAGTTGAACCATCCATGGTGGCCGGGGGATATGAGCCCTCGATGGTGCCGGCCAACAGGAAGTTACCTGGAGCCGGCCATGACGTGGTGATGTGTGGGTAAGGCAGTAGGGCAACCATAGGTAACCATAGGTATCCATAGGTATCCATAGGTATCCATAGGTATGCATAGGTATCCATAGGTATGCATAGGTATCCATAGGTATCCATAGGTATATATATATATATATAGGTATCCATAGGTATCCAGGGCGGTCATATCATGCAACCACACAGGGAGCCTGGCAACTCAATCGAAGAAAATTCATCCCAGAAAAGGGATGAAACATACACATGAACTGGAGAGCCCAGTTATGTGAGCCTAAGGGCTATGTTTATCATATTTGCATGATAAGAAACCCTACTGTATAGTATGATGGCATTGTAATGGCATATGGTATCCACTGGCTTTCCCAGCGTCCCAGCCTGTTGAAGCAATCCAAAATCCCTCCACGTACTCCGAGTACGAAGTTCCACGTTGCACAGTCCTCGCAACAGCATAAAATCGGTTGAAGTGAACCATCGGGAGAGCGTGAACCATGCTTGAACGAGAGACACACACACAGATATATATATATATTTATACCTTAGGAATCAAAAACCATCAAACACCTATAAATTTGTAGGTTTCATATGAAAAGACCGTCTTTTGATGCTTGGGTGAGCAAAAGCTCGGCTTTTCCTCAAAAACCTTGGGTTTTCGCAATAAACGTATTTTGTTTATCAATTTTGTTTGATCTTCCTTTACTGCTCAATAAAGTTGGAGCTACCCAAAGGTCAAAACGACTTTGTCAATTCCACGCCGCCCCGCCTATGGCTAGGAAAACCGGCGAACGGCTCTTTTAGCAGGAATGGCATTGGATAGCCAAATGGAGGAAATCTAATTCGATTGAAATGAATGGCGAGTCATAGTTTCATCAGTTCAAGTTAATGGTCCACTTGTGTCCTTTTTTGATAGGTGTCAGGTTTTAGGAGAAGCGTCTGCATAGCTTTCTTGGGACAATATGCCTTACCAATTCTTATTCCACTATCAACACGCTGCATGAGAATAGGGTTCATTTGGCAACACCTTTTCAATCCCATTTTGAACTTTTTCATTGAACAAAATCATTGTTTTGACGATTTCGATGGGAACCATGGGGAACCCGTAAAGTAGAAAACCCGTGTCGTAAATCACAGGGAACCCGTGGATACCCGTAGAAAACCCGTAGAAAACCCGTAGAAAACCCGTAGAAACAAGATGGGTACTGAGGGTCTCGCAGCGGGCCCCACTGGAAGGCGTTTTTGGCAATTTTCCAATTCAAAAATAATTGAAGCTACATCACCCGATACGTGAAGAGCGTGTTCACACGTCCAGTGCGGCCAAAAGTCACGCGCAAGTTTCTGGTGGTGCAAATGGTTGACTGATGCAACTCAATTATGTTGCCGGCTTGCATGATGGCACATACTTGGGCCATCTTGGGCCCCAGGTTCATGTTAGGTTTTGGACACGCTCAGGCATTTGGCCAAAAGAAGCGGAAGGTCCATTAGCACAGTCCCCGCCCTCCCTGTCCTTTGATCCCTTTTCCATGTTGCTAGAAGAACCAATGATCTCCCGTGTCTGGAGCTGCGCAACTCTACAAGATGGCGTTAGTGATCTGTACGTTTTCTGACCGTATATAGCTTCAAATAGAACAGATCACTTTACCAAGAGAAATCCAAAACCCCGGGTTTTCCCCAAAAACATCGTCTTTTTCTATGGGTCCTACGTTTTTGTTGATTTTTGATTCAAGGTATATATATAATATCTATGTATATATATATACATACATATATATATATGGGTTTGTAATGGAAAATCCTATTCGAATGGATGATTTAGGGGTACCTCCATTTCAGGAAACCTCCATATATTTGCAGCCACTGCATTTCACCGAGGGGCCATTCATTTGCGCCGTTGGAGCCGCTGAACTTGGCGAGAAAATAGTCGTAGGTCCCACCTCAGCACAACGAAAATGCGACGGCCAATTGGGTTTCACAATGTTAAACGGGATTTAAAACAGCCAATACGGGTTTCCCAATGTAGCGAATTAGGTTTCACCAACATATTTTATAACATAATTTATGGCTGTTTCACAATGTTAACAAAAAATAACAAAAAATATCAAAAAATATGTTATACAGCCATCCCAAAGGGCATTTTTGGATAGCGAAATGACATGGCACAGGGTCAAAACATGGTTTGTATATATATATGGATATATATGGATATATATGGATATATATATGGTATGGTCATCACACCACCACTAAGGATTACTCGAAAGTGGCTATACTAGTCCCCAATTGAATTGATGACCATCCCCCAACAAATTTTGACCATGGCACATATCATAATTGTATAGGTAACTACATTTAAATATGCGGATTTTTTTTTAATATATGGACAGGTACTTTAGACTACCTCCGGACAGGTTTAACGGCCCGCCCGGCAATTTAAACAAACGGAATCCAAGTCATTTAAACATGTAGCATACGGTAATTACATTCAAATATACGAACTGGTATTTCATACGACCTTCAGGGCCAAACCGGTCTGGCCCGCCCTCCACATATTTATATGTCGTTACCGCATAATTATCATATCCCAGTCTAATTTTATAATAGAACTGCAGCCGTTTGGGATCCATGCCCCTTGCCATACCAAGCCACCGGCGTGCGAAGCCGCCAAATAGCCTTTCGTGTTTCCGCAAATGTAGATGTCACCAGCTGAGCTGATCTGCATGGCTGCGAATTCATCCCAAGCAGAACCTCCATATACAATTGCCTTGGTTTTTTCATGTTTTTTCCATTTGCGGAAGCTGGTTTATTTTAAGTGACATCAACTTGGAATATCTTAGAATCCCCCCTCCCGGATATTTTCGCAAGATTCAACTTAAGTTTGCTGAATTGGGCAACTAGTGACCCAATCCTTGGTGCCTGACGCGCCATACTTGATGAGCAAGATATCCCAATCCCCCGCATTGCTGTTGTCCCAATTCCCTTGGGTCTCACCACCCACAAAGTGTTCGCCGTTCCCGTTGAAGACGATGCCCCAGGCTCGATCGTCCCCGGAGCTTCCTGGTGGTATCTGGTCCCAACCAAGTGTTCGTTGTTTGGAAGTTTCGAATGCATGTCATCGACTTTTTTTTGGAAGAACATCAAGAATATATACATACATACATATATATATATACATTATATACATATACGATATATATATATATACAGTATAGAAAATCATAGAAAATCACAGCTTCAAAACCACCAGCCAGCTTCCTTCTTGGAAAGTATTGATCTCACTACCACTGGTGTAGAGTGCAACTCGGATGATATCATAACTTCCCTGGTTCGTGTAACTTGAGGAGATCACTTCGTTTGAGTGCCCGATTGCCCAGATTTGGTCGCTATAGACAGCAACGGCGGTGAACATGTCCACGTAGGAAGTGATCTGTGTGTACTGCGAGGGTTGGCCAGATGAATATTGCCTGCCCCACTGGAATACCCCTGCGGTGTTGAATGCTGCCACCCATGCATCTGTAGTACACTGGCTATACTCACAGGTATTGCCGCCATTGAAACTACTGCCTGAAACTTGCTTCATGTTGCCCTTGGTATACCCTGCCAGGACGATCAAATTGTTGCTGGAGGAGTATGCCACTCCTTTGGTGTAGGAAGCTTCAGGCAAGGAGCCACCCTCATCCACAGACTCGATACTCTCGCTGTCTGTCGATGTTAAGCCTGGCAGAGTGAATAAATTTGTGGCAGGGCCAACTGCAAACAAAAAGACAATACTTGGGGATTGTTATTCTTTTTGATTTAACTTGTTAAATCATGTCAAATCTCATTGATTAATTTGTTATATAATATACAGTTGTCAGGCTCACGTGTTTTCTTGATGATTCTTGATTCTTCTTTGCACGATGAAGGTATGAACACGAAAAGTGTGCTCCGAGCTTTCTCACTTCCACTCTTTGCATCCCTTGCTTGCGCCTGGTGTCGAGACGAGCATGCTTGTGGCAGTGTGTGTATACTCATAGGTGGAGCTCCAATACTCGCTGCTTCCAAACCACCCACCGATCACAATCCCGTTGTTGTTCGTGATTGCTATGCCTTGGTGTGGGTATGACATGCCATTATGCTGTGACACGGTGCCGAAGTACTGCACGGGGGAATAGAAGCTGGAAGAAGCCGAAGCTGTCCACCAAAGAGACAGACTGTGACACAACACAAGGTGCACCATGGCTTTCTCAGGTTTGAAAGGTTGGGATGCACTCTGCCTTGAAAACGGCCTAAAACGGAGCCACCAAAATCATCACGACATGATTCTCCATGCTTCCTTGGTGCGAGAGTTCTCTTGTTGGTCTTTTTTCGGACCTGAAAAAACCAGGTCCGACTCTCAGCACATGATAGGAACACTTATCACAAAACAGCAGTGAGGTGATCATATAGAATGAGACATGAAAAAACAGCCGTTCAAATATACACCGAATTGTGGTAAATGGATGCAAATGGTAGATGACGGTCTAAGATGGTATAAGGATGTGTAAGGCACTCGCTCCGCAGTGTAACTGCGAGCAACCCCCCAACGTATTTCCCTTTTTGCGTGGTACTGGCGATTCAAATCCAACCGGTCAATCAGCTGATCTGATGCAATTTGCAGATCTCGGCTTTGTTCGGTCGGCCCCGTCCGACAAACAACTGCCGATCGTTTTCCAGACGCGCGAATCAGCTGGAATGTGACTCCTGCTTCACTATTTGCCAAGTGCATCCAAATGTGCCCTCATCTTAACCATCACCCGTAGATGCCACCACGCTTGGCACGGCTGCATCATTATCATCATTGCCGCGTTTGTCATGATTATTAGACTATTATCAGTTATATATGATCATTCATTGTCATTCATGCTCATTCTATAGCTTCTGTGATTTTGGCCACACTGTCCTTCCGATTCGAAGTTCATGCTCTCCTGATTGACATGACGGTATTGGAAAGTGAACAGTGAGAACTATCAATTTAGCCGTAATAAGCCTATAGATTGTAGATGGCAGTAAAACAAAAGTGAACTTCGATCAACATGTCCTTTTGACATTCTCATGTCACATGGACTCTGTCATTGGCATAGGGAGAATCTGTACTCGAAGGAGCTTCAACGGATCCTTGAGGTATTCCTGACAAGAATGGGGTTGAAAGATGTTGAAAGCATGGAAACCACGTTTCAGGCGATTCCAGGTATCGGTGGGCGTGTCATGAATGGTGTTTTTTTCGCTGAGAGGCACAAACAATCACAATCAATGGCCGTTTCATGTACCCAAATTATGGAGTCCATTTAATAAGCAAACTGACATAACCAAACTGTCGTTGCCAGTCTCGCCTCCATCTTCATTTGTTCTGCCTGTGTCTTGCACAGGGCTCGCAGATCCTAGAAGACCACTCTGGAAAAACATCGTTTCACAAAAATGGGATGTAGTCAATAATAAGAGACCTCCCCGGAAAAAAAAACATGATATTAATATGCATAATATAATATAAATTAATATAATATAATGATAATAACATAATCAACCAATCTCTTTCAATATCCTTTCATGATGAATCTCAAACTCCACAGGCAAACTGCAACAAAACTGATGCCAAAACAGTATCCTTTTCGGTTGTAGTCATCCCGATGGGCATGGCCCGGTAGCCGAGCGCTCCTGGCACCATGAATCTCACCATGAATCAACCTGTTACAGCCCACAGCCTTGATATTTTATGACATTGTTTCAGCTTGCGAACCCAGCCTGTGACAAGATAGCGCCTCACGATCACAGGTCCTTGCGATGTTCCACAAGGATGACAAGAGTACTGTAGACAAAAGTCGTGTCGCGGAAGAACCATGCAGAAAAAACATGAAAAAACATTAAACAACTCATGCACCACCGCACTCCACCATAAGAATAACAGAGGTCCTTCGCTTGTTGCCCTCGTCTTCTGGGCAACCTTCTTTACCTTGTTCTTTCTTGCCTTTGCCTTTCCAATCGCTGCCTTTGCCTTTGTGGCCTGGGCTTGCCCAGCAGCAACTGTTTTCTCATCATTTTTGATGCAGTCTGAGCAGCGAACTGCACCGGGAATCTTCCGTAACTTGCTCGGATCACCTTGGATGCTACCCGCTAGAGGTATCTGAACAAACAATTGCCCGAGGGATGACGAGGGATGACAAGTGGCTCAAGTACGCCTTCAGCGATTTCTCTTTGGCCTTGTCACCCTTGCATTTGCCAAGAAGGTCCTGACCGTAAAAATTGTTTTCAGAAACCATCAAAAACCTGCAGATCATGAAACTAGGGCGCTACTTGGCCAGTCCTTCTCCGTGTACTTTGCTCCAAGTCGGAGGCTCAAACCCAAATGCAAGAAACCCTTGACCTGAACATTCTGAACATTCAAGAAGCAAACAAAACAGCTGCTTGCACTTTTGAACCCAAGAACTTGCTCCCACACGACTCCGCCTCGTAGTACGTGTCTTGTGACCCTGGCTTATCTTTGCTCATCTGAACACACGACACAGCAGCAGCAGCAGGTTTTTTCATGGCCCAGACACCTGTTAAAGGTTTGCAAGCACCCAAGACACATGCCCGACACACATAACCAACCAGTAACACTCGCATATTCTCGCCAATTCTATAATGTATTGACTACCTCAGCATACTTTTTGCTTCTTTCATCACAACAACCCTTGGGCCAAAGTTGTGCGCAAAACAAGGCAAAGTTGATCTTGCAAGAGCAATATGCCGCACACCAAATGCACAAAATGATTGATCTTCATGAAATCGGAAAGATCGGCAAATACTAAACAAATCTCAACAGCAACTGGACCTTTTCCACTGCCTTAGGCAAGGCCCAGTTGGGCCGGAAAAATTTCTATTTGCAACTGGTTCATCCGGTGAAACTTTTGCCTCGGAGGCTTCAAAAGCAACTAGAAATTGATAGAAAATGCTAGAACTACTCTTCCCAGATCCGGAAGCTCATGCCCACTGCCGCTCATGCGCAGCTGCAGATGTCGCACCACTCATTCGATGGCAGCGAAGATCACTTTGCTGGAATTCAGCATCATCTCCTCTTGGACCCCAAAAAATATGGAGACGCTGCGTTCCAGGTGAACTGCTACGTTGATTTGGTAGTATGTTCTACAAGATTACAACATATAGAGACATAGCATATACAGTAAATATTATATATATAATATACACGTGCATCTATGCAATTAGAAACAAAGGAAGATTCGTAGAGAAACTTTGAGTTGCGGATGGTTTATTCTCACTAGCCCAAAGATCATTGTGTCCAGTTGGCATGTGCCTTAAGAGATCATGAAGTCACATTCTCACTAGCCCAAAGATCATTGTGTCCGGTTGGCACCTGCGTGAAGTAGAGAAGGGGCAGAGTAGAGGTAGAGTAATGGTAGAGTAGAGAAGAGCAGATTATGGAAGAGTACAGTACAAAAGAATAGAGTAGAGCAGCGTAGAGTAGAGTAGAGTAGAGTAGAGTAGAGTAGAGTAGAGTAGAGTAGAGTAGAGTAGAGTAGAGTAGGAGTAGAGTAGAGTAGAGTAGAGTAGAGTAGAGCAGAGCAGAGCAGGGCAGAGCAGAGTAGAGTAGTACAGTAGAGTAGTACAGAGTAGAGTAGAGTAGGGTAGGGTAGAGTAGAGTAGAGTAGATTAGATTAGGGTAGAGTAGGGTAGACTAGAGTAGAGAAGAGTAGAAGAGTAGAGAGAGTAGAGAGAGTAGAGAGAGTAGAGAGAGTAGAGAGTGTAGAGAGTGTAGAGAGTGTAGAGAGTGTAGAGAGTGTAGAGAGTGTAGAGAGTGTAGAGAGTGTAGAGAGTGTAGAGAGTGTAGAGAGTAGAGAGAGTAGAGAGAGTAGAGAGAGTAGAGAGAGTAGAGAGAGTAGAGAGAGTAGAGAGAGTAGAGAGAGTGGAGAGAGTAGAGGGAGTAGAGAGAGTAGAGAGAGTAGAGAGTAGAGCAGAGCAGGTCGAGTGGAGTGGAGTGGAGTGGGGATGGGAAGCGCTTCATTTCCGAACGCGGAAACCTCCATTTTAGATCGCGGAAACTAGCTCGTTGTGGAACGCGTATTTGGCATGGTTTTTCCAAGGTTTTCTGCTTTCCTGGTTCCCTTCCCGTTTTCTTGGTTTCCTGGTGTCCTGGTTTCTTTTCCCCGGTTTTCCTGGTCTCCTTTTTGTTTCATCCTGTATTTTCTTCTGAAGTTATTTCCTGGTTTTATTCTTTCCCGGTTACCTGGTTTCCTGGTTTCCCGGTCTCCTGGTTTTCTGGGTTTTGCTTGTTTGCTGCTTTTATGGTCCCCTAATTTTTTGTTGATCTATTAGCTCGTTCCTAGGCTTATTTCCTGGTTATGTCATGTCCTGGTTGTTTGGTTTCCTGGTCTCCTGGTTTCCCGAGGTTCTAGTTTCCGGGTGTCGTAATTTCCTGGTTTCCTGGTTTCTGGTTTCGCAGTGTCAGTCTTGGCTTCCTTTTTGTTCCCCAAACAGTGTGTTCACACTGGGGGGTTCTTACGGTAGGTGTAAAGGCCGGTGTTTGATCAGGGTGCTCACTCTGGGCGTCGGCATTTTTTCTAAACATTTCCGTATAAAGTGGCTGTTGTGAAATGCTGACATGCATTTCGACTGCGCAGGCTCGCACAAAGTGTGTGTCTGCGTTCTGGGCTGGCATTTTTCTTGTAAATTTCCGTACAAAAGTGGCTCTCGTGAAATGTTGACATGCATTTCCACTGCGCAGGCTCGCGCTAAGTGTGTGTCTGCGTTCTGGGCTGGCTCTGGAGCGCAGCATTTTACCTGTAAATTTCCGCTGACATGCATTTTGACTATTTTCGACTGCGCAGGCTCGCACAAAGTGTGGTCCTAGGTTCGCACGGCATTTTACCTGTAAATTTCTGGAAAAATGGCTCTTGCCAAATGTTGAAGTGCATTTCGACCGCGCAGGCTCGCACAAAGTGCGGTCCTAGGTTTTGGGGCGCGACATTTCCTGTATCCGCAAAAAATGGCTCTTTCGAAATGTTGAATTGCATTTCAACGGCGCAGGCCCACACAAAGTGTAATCCTAGGTCTTGGGGCGCGGCATTTTTCCTGTAAATTATGGTGGAAAATGTTTCCTGCGAAATGTTGACGTGCATTTCGCGTGCGCAGGCTCGCGCAAAGTGGGGTCTTAGGTTCTGAGCCGTAGCATTGTTTGTAAATTTCCGTATAAAGTGGCTCTTACGGTGTTTTTGTTTGTCTATATGTTCAGAAATGATCCGGTTTTCGTGTTCTGATTTTAGCGAAGTCTTGTGTTCAGAAATGATCCAGTTACGTGTTCCAACATGAGCCGTCTACCAGTAAGAGTAGGAGTAGGAGTAGGGTAGAGTAGAGTAGGAATATATAGAGTAGGAGTAGAGTAGGAGTAGAGTAGGAGTAGAGTAGGAGTAGAGTAGGGGCAGTGGAGTAGAGTGGAGTAGTGTAGGAGTAGAGTAGGAGTAGAGTAGGGGCAGTGGAGTAGAGTATATAGAGTAGAGTAGAGAAGCGAGTAGAGTAGAGAAGAGAGTAGAGTAGACAAGAGAGTAAAGTAAAAAAAACAAGGCTACGGCGCGGTTAGCGACCCGGGGTAATTCATTGATTTTTCATGATGCTTGGTTCACCAAATCATGGTATTTGCACTGTTTTGTAAAAACGTGATAAAAATGTCAAATCGTAGTTACTTTGGGGCCTACTTCAAAAAGTGCGTTTCGTGTGAAACGTTCATCGATTTTCAATACCCCTGAAACGAATTATTGTTTTTTTTTTTCGTTTGGTTGGAGAAAATTAGTTACATCTGACCACCAGTCATTGAGCAACACTTCTTTTCCAACTTACCTTGCAAGGTCTTCAGCGTCGACTCTTTTTGGCCAGCTTTCCCAGTTCCTTCCACATGAACGTTAACATCCCCACCCCACCCCAACCCAGTGACGTGACGTCAGTTGTGCATGTGACGCAAGTTAACATGAACGTTAACATCCCCACCCCACCCCAACCCAGTGACGTGACGTCAGTTGTGCATGTGACGCAAGTTAACATGAACGTTAACATCCCCACCCCACCCCAACCCAGTGACGTGACGTCAGTTGTGCATGTGACGCAAGTTAACATGAACGTTAACATCCCCACCCCACCCCAACCCAGTGACGTGACGTCAGTTGTGCATGTGACGCAAGTTAACATGAACGTTAACATCCCCACCCCACCCCAACCCAGTGACGTGACGTCAGTTGTGCATGTGACGCAAGTTAACATGAACGTTAACATCCCCACCCCACCCCAACCCAGTGACGTGACGTCAGTTGTGCATGTGACGCAAGTTAACATGAACGTTAACATCCCCACCCCACCCCAACCCAGTGACGTGACGTCAGTTGTGCATGTGACGCAAGTTAACATGAACGTTAACATCCCCACCCCACCCCAACCCAGTGACGTGACGTCAGTTGTGCATGTGACGCAAGTTAACATGAACGTTAACATCCCCACCCCACCCCAACCCAGTGACGTGACATCAGTTCTGCATGTGACGCAAGTTAACATGAACGTTAACATCCCCACCCCACCCCAACCCAGTGACGTGACGTCAGTTGTGCATGCATCAATTTCAAGAGCAACTTGCCTCCAATCAGCAAAAATGGCAAAAACGCAGGGGTCGTTAATGGCGCCGTAGGCAAAAACAAGTAGAGTAAAGTAGAGTACTATGGAGACGCTCGGAACTTAGGATTTTATAAGTTCGAAATAAGTTCGACGCTTTGTAAGGGTTTCGGCAGGGCTCAGAAATGCTCAGAAGCTAAGTTCGAGATAAGTTCATACAAGGAATTGATAACATGTCAGAAACTTAGTGAACTTTTGTTGAATGATATCAAAAAGCCTAAAAGGAACTTAGGGAACGTATGAAATCATTGTTTTTAAACATCTGTTGTGAAATTTGATAAAATATAAAAAACTGAATACTATTTTGTTGCAGATTGTTACAAAACGATGTTGGCTCAAGCGTAGTAAAATCATCATAGACAATGGCTCAAAAGTTGAAGAAAAACATCGTGGCAGCGTAGTCTCCGGTGGGCTTGCGCATTGGCCACAGAGTTGCGCCATGCTCGCAAGTATTTGGGAGTGCTGGTCTGGCTCTTGTCCCGGGCGCCGGGCAGGACCAGGGAGCTACAACTGGCTAGTTCAGGCAGCAAAGGCCATGTTGCAAAAGTTTCAAAATGGCTTGACCGCGAGTTGACCGCGGTTGACCGCGGCTCCAGTGGGCTGACCGCGGTGACCGCGTGACCGCGGCCTGAAACACAGGTGAGCGCTATGAATGGCCACAACCGCGTGACGCGACGTGGTTCAATAGCCTCATGACTGCGTGACCGCGTGACCGCGGGTCCTGCACTGATTGGTAAAATCAAATGCACTTGACCGTGCATCTGTCCATATTGTCGGAAGTTTGACTTCTAAACTTCCTTCGATCAACTTTGATGGTAAGCACCCATCTGCCAGTGACATAATTATCAATCTTATGACGTCTCTTGTCACGAAAAGTCATGGCAGTGAAATCAAGAAAGCTTCTGAATTCTTCAAGCTTGGCTTGTTTGACCTCCTTAGCATACTTTCTCAAGACTTCTTGGGTGATAACTGATTCTGCCTTTGGCTGCTTCTTTCCATTCTTGGCCAAGTACTGTTCCAATTGATTGAAACCAGTAACATCATATGAACCAAAATCAGGAGCAGCTTGAACCTTAGGTCCTAAAGGAACAACAACAGTACCATCGATTTCGACAAAATGAGAGTGGTCTGATGTGTAAGGTTCGGTGTCCACATCTTCTTCCTGAAGCTGAGCAATCTCTTCCTCAGTCAAAACAGGAGTATCGTCTGTTTCATATGGTTCTGTTTCATCATCATCGTTCTGAGATGATACCAATTCTGGTGTTCCTTGTGACGACTGCTGTTGCGCTGGCTGCGCTAAATCACCTGGCACAAACGATGTTGGTGTAGTAGTCGGCAGTGGAATTGAGTTATCATTTGAACTTGAGGCATTAGGATCATGTGAAGGTCCTCCTTCTCCTTCATC